GCCGGGGGGCTGGAGGTAACCGGGGTGGTCCCCTACATTGTTGGTAGTTTCTCCTCGACCCCGCTCATGATTCCTCTCAGACTCGGGGTGATGAAGAAAAGGGGATTCCTAACAAAATGTCCGATTCCCCATGCATTCGAAATAAATCCACGTTTGAAGAACAAAGTCAAATTTATTATAAAGCGATGGTTAGATCAGGGACACAAGAATTGTTAGGAATAACTACAAACCCCGGAGGATAACATAATAAAGGAACTTGAACCCGTGTAGGACCAATGAGCCCAATTCCCGCTGGCGGGAATGCAGATAAAATGAGTGCCCAATTCCTTGGGAACACAACGGTTCTACAACATAAACACAGGGCAGTTCTCAAGCTTCGAATACATAACAAGCCAAGCAATGCCACAACATAATCCCACCTCCAGCTGTTAACCTTGAGCAGTTCCGCAGATGTAGCAAGCAAGAGAAAGTAAACACCTACAGATGGGGGGAACGCGGAAGAAGGTTCAGAGGTTACAACGTAACATAGCAACTCCATGGCAGCTTGCTGACACCCAACTATGACTTCCAGGCTCACAAGTACACACACACAGTACAGTTTCCCAGAAACTTTACAAAGGGCCTCTGAGAAATAAAATCTTTGTAATATGCTCAAAATATTTAGTAAAGTATCATACTGCCTATTTAACTTTGTGTCATGACAAATATTACAACATCTCCAGTGGCAGTGCAGCAAAACAATTAATTTGAACTAAACTAGAGCAAACTGGGAAATCCAAGCTTTGGGAGTTCATGGTATCATTCACTGCTGATTAACATTTCAGGAATTACCTGGTGTAAGGTTTTAGTGGGCTGAGCACTGGGCTAGTAGTGGGGAGACTTGGGTTTACATTCCAGCTCAGCTCACTGACCTTACAGCAGTCACTCTCACTTGGCCTAGCCTACCTCCCAGGGTTGTTGAGAGAACACAATGGAGGATGGGTAAGCTATGTACGCCCTCTCCAAGCTCCTTGGAAGGGCAGGTTATAATTGTAATAGATGGGGTAGCCATTTAGAGTAGACAAGGGGTGGACCCGCGATAGTCGCGGGGGGGGGAGAGGGAGGCAGAGGAGGAAGCTGCAGGAGGAGGTAAGTACCCCTCCATCCTGCTGGTTCCCCCCCTCCACCCCCTTGATCTCCCCCCCATTGCCTCTCCCCCCGGCTCCTCGCTGCTCTCTCTCCGCGCAGAGCGTTCCCTGCGCATGCGCAGGGGATGCTCTGTGAGTTTCGGGGGGATTTAAACATCCCCCCGATGTTATTTTCCAGGTTTAGGATTTTTGTGCACACGTGGGGACCACCCCACGTGCGCACAAACCTCTCCCTCCCCCCCAAATCCCCCCGATGTGCGGATTTAAGTATCCGCATGCCAGGGGGCAACTTGAGAATTAGATATATAGATTAAGAAGGTTAAGGATTCTTTGTGTAGTTTCCACTGCCCCATGAATACACAGTGGCAGCAGAGCATCTATGGTAGAGGTGTCAAACATAACGCCCGGGGGCTGGGGGACCGGCCCGTCCAGGGCTCTTCTGTGGCCCGCAAGCAACTAGTGCAAGGGAGGGAACAGGAGACTGCTCAGGGGGAGTAGACAGAGCCACTCCAATTGTGGCATCAGCATGGCAGAACAACCTCGTCTGCAGCAGTTAACAGTGTGGGAGCATCTGCCCAGTGCTGCACCGCAGGCTCTCCAGTCTGCCCTTGGTTTTCCTTTGCACCCCCCTCCCAGCCGATGGGGCCTTGCAGTGAGGATACAACAACTGGGAGCTTACCAGCTGCTGTCCTTTATACAGTTTATATCTCCAGTACCTGGCATTACGTTTTATGGCACACATGGCTTGGCCCAACAAGGTGACATCTGTCAGATCCAGCCCTCATAACAAATAAGTTCTGATCTCTGCGGCAGGTTTTCCACCCATGCTTCCTTTCCTCAACCCAGCTGTGACCACGATCCCCCTCACTTCCCCTGGGAAAAGAGGATCTGCCACAAAAGGGGCTAGTACTATCTTTTTCAAAAGCAAAAAAGAAAGGTGGGCATTTAGAGAATCTAGCATACGGATTATAATGCTATAGCAATATTTGATGTTGTTGTTCAGTCGCACAGTTGAGTCTGACTCTTCGTGACCCCCATGGACCACATCGCGCCAGGCCCTCCTGTCTTCCGCCGTCCTCCTATAGCGATATATTGCCTGACAATTCTTTTTCTAAAAAAAGATACCAAATGTCCTTTCATGGGGCAGGAGACTGAAGGCAAGGATGACTGTGCCTTCAAAAATGCACACATTTTGAGTCCACATGGCATGCAACACACTTTGACTGCAATTGTCCTGAAAAGAATCCACCAAACCAGGTTTGGGAAAGATCACAGCAAAACAGGGAAAAGTATAGAAAATGGACAGTTAGGGGATGACATCATCCCATTATGAGAGGGGGGCACCATCACCCCACACTCCACTGTAGACATCAAACTACAGCAAAACCTTAGAGTGGAAGGGACTCAAATTAAGACAACTGATTTTATGTGCTGATTTTCCTTTGTCTCCTTCAGCCAGTGGCCTCTTCCTCATGATCTGCAATGGAGAACTCATCACGTATTTTGCATACTCCGACTCCAACAGCCCTGGCTGGGACAATTTTTTTTAAAGCTCATTACAAACTGCAGGCTCATGAAAAAGATTGGAGTGCTTCAGTCTCACCTTTAGCCCACTTTGGATTTGCAGAGGGAAGCTGCTGAATTTTTGTTAGCACCAAGGAAGCTGGTTTAAGAGCATGAGAGCCAAAACGCCAGATTAGACCAATGGTCCAATCCCGTCCCACATCTTCTTTCCCACAGTGGACATCGGCTGCCTTTGGGAAGCTCAAAAGCAGTGTGTGAAGGCTAAAGCCTCCCCCTGTTGCACTCTCACACCTGATAACACTTCCTCTGAACACGGAGGTTCCATTTAGCAACAGCAGCTAACAGCCTTTGATGGACCAACCATCCCTGATTTTTCTCTAACTCCCCTTTTAATTGCTTTCTAAGCTAGTGGATGTGGCTACAAACATACACACACCTTGATCTGGATGGCCCAGACTAGCCTGATCTTGTTATATCTCAGAAGCTAAGCAGGGTTGGCCCTGGTTAGTCCTCGGATGGGAGACCCCAAGGACATCCAGGGTCGCTACGCAGAGGCAGGCCATGGCAGACCACCTCTGTCCCTCTCTTGCCTTGAAAGCCCTACAGGGTCACCATGTCGGCTGCGACTTCACAGCACTTTCCACCACTACCAACTGGAAAGTTAACCCCTTTGAACAAAGTAGGATGGACTTCCAAGTAAGCATGCACAGGTGGAAATCCTTGCAGCAAGGAATTCCATTAGCTAATTATGCTTTCAGGAAGACCACCCACAATGAGAGAGTAATTCTTTAAGCCCAAGGCAGTAGACCTTGCATCTTCACCACTGTAGAAGACCCGCAAATAAAAAAGTTTGATGTACCCCCTGCCTCCACTTGAGAGGCCAGCCAACATGTATGCACAACAGGCAAAAATTCTTCTCGGTGAGCAAGCCTGCCAAGTGTCTCTGCGGGCCTGAAATCTTTGCCTTGCTGTTTCTAACTGATGCAGGACGGATTTGCTGACTCGTCATAATTAATCCACACCCCAACCGCCTTGCTAAATATCAGCCTGACAGTTTGCATGTCATTTGGGCACAAGCTAAGAAAGCATTCGTTATAGCCGAGCCCGAATGCACCAAACTATTTAAAAGATGCCATGGGAGTGGGGGGACCCCTAGAGGGGGCTGCACGGCTGCACGATGTGACTGGACAAGTTTTAAAAAGGTGCCGATCTTACTGCAGAGCCCCGAGTTGCAATCCCATCACTGATCACCCAAGCTGGAGAGCTTTATTGGAAACAAAAATCATTGGCATTTCAACAGTCATTACACAGTCTTTGGTTCTGCATCAGAGTATTTGCAATCAAATACAGTTTTACCTGCATTTCAAGCTACAACTGTCTTGATAGAAACAGTCCCAAACTTGATTTTCCTATGTGCTGCACTACAGCTCTGGAGGAGGTCATTTAAGGACCGCTGGCTGCATTCTGGTTCATTGAGGCTCTTGCTGGGCTCACGCCGTCTCAAAGTTCAGCAGTGGGGAATAAATCACTGATATGCTGCCTGGTCCAATCCTTGGTGGGTTGGACACGGCCTTCCGGCCTTGTGTTGCCCATCTCTTAACAGACTAATATTATGCATTAGAAGGTAACAAGGCCAAAAAGAGGGGACCAGCTCCCCCAAAGGATACATTTGTATAGCACTTTTGCAAGTCATTCTTGTGTCTCTAACCTGTCAAGTTGTAAGCATGTTGCCATTTTGAGGGAAGCTGGAGGTACGCTGAGGATGTGGGAATGGCTCAGAAATGGCAATTATCTATCTTGAAGAAGTGATATAATTGGACACACAGCACTTTTCAGACACAGGACTGGGAATTTTTCCATGGTGCCTGGGGCCAGTCCCCCTCCCACGGGGCAAGCCATGAACTACCCTGTGCCCTGAGGGCCCTTACCCAGGGAGGGAGAGAGGCAGCAGGGAACCCAGGAGCAGTGGCCTGCCCAGCAGGGGAGGCCCCAGCCAGGTAGTCGCCCCCACTGCTGCTGCTAGAGAGGAAACTGGAGACCTGGCAGCCCATCACTGGCCTGTAAAAGTGAAGGCCAGAAACTGGGAAGGACCAGGGTGAGAAGAAAATGGAGGAGGGAGGCCCAGGAGGAAGAACAAAGAACAGACGGCCCTGAGAATGGGTAGCCACCCTCCTTTTATCACTTCCAGGAAGTGGTGGGGCCAAAACCTGATTGGAGCCAAGGTCCAGGGGGTGAGGCCAAGGGTATTAGTATGGGAGGCTTCAAAGCCAGGCCAGGGAGAAAAAAACTGGGTGGAGCACACTGTCAGGTCCCCACAGCAAACAACGTAGTACACACTTGCAAGAAGGTTTTACTTTATTGAAGCCATGAAGCACTAGAACAGGGTCACTGTTCAGAATAACGAAGGTTGAGGTGCATGAAAGGATAAAGCAAGTTCATAATTACAATAGCCAATAGATATGGTTCCCACGCGCTGCCAAGAGGCCCCACTCACGCTTAAACCCTGAGAAGCAACGGTTCCTTAACTATAAACAATTAGTCTATTCCCACAACTACTGCTCCTACTGCTCATTAAAGACTAAGCAAAGCCTTCTGTGCTCTTCCACCTGTGGCCTTGGCGAGATAGCATTACATCAAAGCAAGACTAGCGTTCATAGAAAGGAATGCAGACTAATGGGAAGATGTGCGCATGACAGGCTGAACACACTTGCGAGACTGGGGGGAGAAGAAATTATACATACACAGGAAAGAACCTTTGGCAGCTTGCTGACACACACAGGACCAGAGAGTGAGAGAGAGAGCAAGGGGGTGCTCCCTTGGAGGGTAAGAAGAGGACCAGGGTGCCTGAACCCCCCTCTCCTTCTGAGGCCAGCAGGGAGACTGGCCCAAACCCATCCAGGATGCCAGAGGGTAGGTAAGCCAGTGCAGCAAAAGGGGAGCCTCACACATGGCAAGCTCCCCCCTACTGTAGAAAACTGCCCTGAGCTGAATGGGCAAAGACAAAGAGCTTCTGTAAGGCACAGCGGCAGATTTTATCATCTAGAAATTAAAAAGCTGTCTTAAGAGGGAGGATGCTTGCAAGCTGCATCTCAGACTCCCCAAGACCCCCAAAAGCATTCTGACTACAGACACAGGCTTCTGGGCATGGGCCAACTGTGCTATGCTGGAGAAGAGTTTGCTACAGGGGGAGGGATGTGACATGATCCAGAAACCTGGTGACACCAAACACAACCCTTCATGCAACCTTCATCAAAATATCTGGAACTTGGTGCTTTGAATCTGTAGACACCACCACGTTTGTGTCTAGTTATTTATTTATTCAATTTTTATCCCGCCCCTTTCCCCACCAGGCAGGGCTCAGGGCAGCTTGTCCCCGTCCAGTGGTCCTGCATCCTGGTCCGAAGTAGAGGCCAGATCCTTCAGGTTTCCCTTTTGCCATGAAGGCAATGTGCATTCCCTGCTTGCATAGATGCAGAACCTCCAATACCACAACTGTTGCTGCAGTCTTGATTATATAGTCACAGTCTACAATCGGGACCATTTGTTCTTTGCAGTCCTCCCTCTATGGGGAGTAGCAGGAACACTGGAAATTCAGCTCTTGTAGCCTTCAGAAGCAGTTAGAGCCAGCTGAGAGCAGACTCCCACCTGAACTGACCGCAGACCAGTCAGCTTCACATGCGGAGGATCTGCTTTGCTGTCACATACGGTGTCATGGACGCCTTCAAAGCTAATTGGTAATCCGCCAGTGGGACCTCGTGGCAGGCTGGAGCGGTGAGCTGGCCCTTCTGAATGAGGGTGCACAACTCTGCGATCATTCCGCTCAGTTTCTCCTTGTCTGTAGGGTGGAAAGAAAGAACAGCACAACTGAGTCAATGTTCAGATCAGATTTAGGCATAGGAAGGTACAGGAAGGGGAGGGGAGAACAGCAGACAGCAACAGAATTGGTTTCAGCAGCCTGGGAGTCAGAAGTGACATACCAGCAATGCAGACAAGTTCCATTATCGGGTAACAGAATTGGAAGTACTGAATTCCAATGCACTTTGGCGTGGCTTTTATAAGTGCTATTCAGGGGATGCTTTTAAAAATAAATGACTTGCACTGTTAAGAACTGAGCTGGTGGGGTGGGGGCACCACTCTCCAGACTGCCCGTGTCACAACTGGCCCCCAAAGAAGCAGAATGCAGCTGGAAAAGTAATGTGAAGCTTTTGTTCAGGATGCACATCACTTGGTACTATAAAAAAAAATCCCCCAAGAGGAGGAAAAAGGAGAAACAGCAGGCAGGAGCGGAAGGCAGCCTCCAAACCCTCAACTGTGGTAAGGACCAAGGAGGAATATAATTCTAGTTGTGGAGAAATACACTCTGCTTAGGGCTACATCATGTTATTGAGAGTTTTGGGACTTCACCCCCTTCCCACATTTATTGTAAGAAGTTTCTCTGTACAAGGATAGGAAATAGGATAATTGCTAATTGCTTTTGAGCACTCCCATCCCATTGGTGGCTTTCACAAGCACTCATTACAAGTCCTGGTTATGCAAATGCTTCTAGGCTGCAGAGAACTATCAAAGGGCCATCTCACACCCTGGCAGGAATGTGATACCTAGGAGGTAACAGAGACTTGGGGATGCCAAATGATAGATAGTATCTCTTCCTGGAAAGGACAGGAACAGAAGGATTGATCCATAAGGAGGTGGGCAGACAAAGGAGTTAAATTCCCCGGTCAGGATGGGAATGGGGTCAATTTTGAGTGATTTAATCAGGGGATAACATGGACAAAGGAGCTCTCACATCTGGGCTCCATTCTGATGTCTGCCACTACCACATGGAGCTAATAAGGGGAGGCAGCTCTAACACAGACTCAAGGTAATGGATGACTGCCAACTTTCAGAATAAAGAGTCTATCCTAAAATAACAACAGTCAGGGTATGTCCATGGAAGGGAAAAAGGAATCTGTGCATGCACTTTTACTGTGTAACCCTTGCTCAATCCATTGCTGTGCAGAGTATGTGTGTGGAAATTTTAAACAAATGTATTATTTGGAATGGTGGAAGTTTGTTCTCCGTAACCATGATAAGCCCCCATTTGAACACATTACTGAAAGGGTGCCAGGGGAAGGGAGGTAGTTGGTCAGTAGATTGCTAGATCCTCAGGAGTGCACAAGTGTGGTCAGCTGTCTCTGCAAAAGCAGGAGATGCAGAAGCATGATGAAGGCTTAAAGCGCACCATGGACAGAGTGCTAGCACATCTTAGCAGGAAATGCTCTAGTTGATCAACTGGTGGCAGAGCAGATACCCAGAGGGAAGCAAGAAATCCCTCTGGGAGTTGGGTGGAAGAGCAGTACACTGCCAAGCAGAGAACTGGGACAACCGCTGAGTGTCTTGACCTCTCAAAGGACCCAAAATAGAATGGGTCAGTGAGGCATTCTGCGACAGTAACACTGTCTAGAACCACTGGACAACACATGAGAAGACTTAAGACATCTGGGGGGAGGGGTGCTAGGACATGAGCAAGGCTGTATTCTCCAAGGAAGGGATAGGCAATCCCTGGCACATGTACCAATAGTGATCTATAAGACCATTCTTCTAGGCACCCAGGGCCAGAGCAAGCAACTGAGGCTGCTGGGACAAGTGAGGAGGGAGAAGGGAACAAGTGTGGCTTGCCTCCCGGAAATGCACAGCCACCAGCTGAGGGCAAGGCGAATCCCTGAGGCTTGGCTTGCTCCATGTGCGTCTGGCCCAATAAAACCCCCATCTCTACCCCCTTTCTGTTTGCCAGCGCTCCAACATCTTGGCAGGAAGACATTACCATTTTTTGGGCAGCAGCTGGGGGTTAGCTCAGAGATGACAACCCATATATATAAATGCTGAATGTTTGCAGAAAGTGTTATAAAGAAAGTGATACACACAATTAAAGACTTAAGTATGCAGGGTTGTTCTTGACTGTTCTTAAAAGATGCTTCCTGATAAACACAGTAGTTTGAAATATATTAGGGTTTGGTACAGCCGCCTTGAAATAAATGTTTTAATAAAATAAATAGTTTAGATTTTTAGATATGCCTTTCCCCTTCTATCTCCACAATAGAAAGGGCTGAATACTTTCACCGAACCTGTTACACTTATTGTAATAATGGTATAATGATATAACAATATGAAACTGACAATTCAAAAATGAACCAAAACAAAAAAGCCCCTGGTGGTGAGGAAAGGAAGCGGTTGCTGCTTGGACAAGGTTGGAGAATGGCTGCTATACAGGTGGGAAAATCCAAACTCTATCACCCACACAGCAGGCATCCCAACATTACTACTACCTTCCCCAAAACATTTTAGCAAAACAGGCTGGAGAAAAATCGGAGAAAAACTGAGGGAACTCTGATGATGCATGAATGCACCAAAATGGGGGGGGGGGGGGCACGTTTCCCAACAGCATTGAACCCAGAGCAGATAACCCGTGTGCAAGTCTCCCTTGGAATGCAAATGCAACAACAGAAATTTGGCAGATACCCATCATGTTCTCTGGTAAACAAATTTTATTTTTCTCAGGAATACAACATGTAAAATTAAATCATTCCATTCTATTAATTGTCTACCCCATTCCCAATTCCTCCCCTCCCTCCGATGGCTTCCCGCAATGCTTCCCCCCCTACTCCAAATTGCTTCATATCATCAACTATATCAGTTTCTTATCATTACATCTAAAGATAACATCATTTAACTTAATATTGATCTAAACATATTAAGTTTTGCTTCACATCCCAGTTCTTTTCCAGATATATTTTAAAGTCACTCCATTCTTGAAAAAACACGTCGTCTTCTTTGTTATTCAACTTCTTTGTAATTTTGTCCATCTCTGCCATGAACAGAACTTTTTGTATCCAGTCCTCAATTTCTGGCACTTTCTCTGTTTTCCAAAATTGTGCATAAATCATTCTCGCTGTTGTGATTAAGTACCAGAATAAAGTCTTTTTAGTTGTATTGACTTCTTCCATTTTCAGTCCCAAAAGCAGAATTTCCGGCGCCTTTTTGAAAGAGCATTTCAGTATTTTTTGCATTTCTTTGTGGACTTTTGTCCAAAAGTCAACAGCTTTCTCGCAAGTCCACCACATATGATAAAATGAGCCTTCATGACTC